TATATTAGATGATAAAGATTTTCCTAGTATGTAAAGAATTTTTTGATAATATTGTTCTATTACACAGATATGTCTTCTATAAAGTCAATCCTTAAAGAATAATATGTTAACAAGTATGTAATGTGTACATAAAATTATAAATGCATACATAGTATATAAAGATATGTAATGCCCATAAATTGAAATAAAACAGAAAATGTGATATGCAATAAAATAGTGGGTGATTTTTTATAAGTGTTCGCATCTTCAACTTTAAAGATCTTAATGTCCATACAGGATCGGGTTTCATTTGTTTTGCGTCCTTCGCATTTTCTCCCGCTCCTTCAAAGTAATGAACAATATGCAATAAATATTGCACATTACGCATAATAAATCATGTTTTCGTAAATTTATCATGCTGAATGTAAAATTAGCCACAGAATATTAAAGCATGGCATTAAAGTTTTTGTTTTTTGTTTTGAAATAATTGTATACAGATATTAATTCACTGTGAGCAGAAAAAAATTTTGGAAAATACGGTAAAGTTTTTAATGGCGGTCCTACTCTACGGAGCCCATTGAAAATTCTTATTTTGTATATATGATAGATCCGGCGCTGCGCCCATATATATTTTTTTAAACACCATGTTATTGACTACATTTTAGGTGTGGTATACTCGAAGATCCTAGTCATTTCACGAATTCGACCGCACTGTCATTAATTAAACATTCAATATGGTTTGTTATTTAAACAATTTTAAATTTGTTTGTTAATAAAAAGTTCATTATTGACAAAATTCTAAATAATGTAAAGTGATTCAAAGAACTCAAGAGATTTTACACAGGTACATTCAAAAGAAAACAATTTGAAAGTGTCAAAACAATTTTAAGAGACCCAAGCGTGAGGTTAAATTTAATGAAAGTGACTTTGCCTTACCATGGTAAAATGGTATAGCGAACTGAGTTGATTTAACATTAATAACTGTAAGAAAATAAATTTTAAATTGTAAAAATATTAAATAAAAATCACCAAACACCTATAAATCACCCTATACAGAAAAAAACACATGGGTTCTTCTGGAATATATAGTAGGATGTCATACTAGTAGCATCTGTTAAATATTTGCTACTGACAACCTACTGAATTTTGTGTTTTTTAATAAATTATTTTCGTTTTTGCTATCACTTTTCTATTATAGATGTGTGTGTTTTCCTTTAATAAATTTAATGTACATTATGTAGACGACTTTGTATAATAAATTATTATTTTGTACAGGATTAATTCCAAAAATATTTTTGTAAATAATTAATAGTTAATATGGCATAATATGTTGTTATTTTATTGTATAAAATTTTGTGTAAAATAATTATTATTCTACAAGAAAAAACTTTATTATTATAATTAATTAATTATTTTCTGTTTTTGATCAATTTATTTGATATCTGATTTTCATTGGTTGGTCATTTTATGTATGTATGTATGTATGGGTTTTTTGATATGTTTTTTTTTTCAAAAATGGAAAATCTTTTAGAGGATTTTAAGCATATTTTTTTGGATTTTTAATAAATTAATAAATGGAAACTATTAATTTTATTATATTTGAAATCTGGAGAGCTAAGGAGTAATTGAAAATTCTAGTATAATAAGAATAAGAAATAGTTTCATACTCGTACTACAGAGCATGCAAAACTTACATTTTAAGTAATAAAATTTTTAAATTAAAATAATTGTTTGTATAAAATATTTTACAAATTTTACATTACAATTTAAACATTTCGACCAGTGCTGGCCGGGTCAAAATGGGTTTCTTTTAAAATTGGTTATGTGGCTTATTTTGTTTTTTTTTTTGATATTATTAAATCTTATGTACAGGTGCAAACATAGCTAAATTCTAGCTGAATTCTTTAATTCTATAGTATATTTTTAAATTATAAAATTGACAGACCAAACCAAATTTATATTTATAAAATTCAAATAAAATATTTATTTAAATTTGTACTCATACTATTTCCAAAAGTGCATATAAAAATGAAATGAAAACCAAAGAATAAATATAATTTTAATCAATTACTTAATTATTTTTTTTATATTTTTAAATTATAGTAGTACGTTTATAAAATTATTGTACATTTGTCAAATTCCCACATTTTATATAAATTTGAATATGCGGAAAAAGTCAACCGCTGGCATAATGGATTCAATTGAACCATGTGTTAAATTGGTTTTTATTTTTTAAATTTAAAAACATCCATTTGTGGTTGAATAAATTTTTAATCAGAAAACACACAAAAATTTTTAAAATATTCATTTATTGTACTGATATTAGACTTATTACTGACCTTGTCAACTCTGTGATACCCGTACGAATTTGTTATCCTATGTGCGAAAAAAGATGCCGTAACTGACTATGGGACAGACTATTACTTTAAGTTGCCGTATTACCATATTAATGTATGGAAAATTTCAATACAATGTGTTTTTCAAAATACTGTGTGTGCCAAACTATTGAAGCTGTATGAAGTTACCAGAAAGAGCCAAGAAATTATAACGAATTTTATCAAGCACATAACTTTTATAGTTTCTGAGATATAGCCAAATAACTTTTGAAGTTGTATGGCAGGTACCAGAAGGAACCAAGTAATGTCAACGAGTTTTATTAGATATATTGGCCCTACTAATATATTTGTTTGTGTGAAATTTTATTGAAACTGTGGTATTGCCACAGCTTTTATAGTTTCTGAAATATAGCCAAACAAATTTGGAAGTTGTATGGCAGCTACCCGAACCGGTAGCCCGATCATCTCCAATTTAAATAGGGTTCTGGCACTTACTACAATAAATCATTTGTGAAAATTTGGTGAACTTAGCTCAATTAGTTTTTGAGTTATCGTTTGGACGGACGGACGGACGGACAGACAGACAAAGCTAAATCAACTCAGAATTTGACGCTGATCAAAAACATACACTTGAGTCTATATCTAAGACCGTTATTTCTTAGCGTTACAAACGGTAAGGCAAATTTAGTATACCCTTCAAACATACGTTCGTACGGGTATAAAGAGAAAAAAAGTGGTGTGGTTAAATTTAATATGAACAAAGTAAATTATCTAAATTGTGAATTAAAAATATTGGTTCCAGATATGCATTTTATCTGGAATGCATTTTTAAAAGCATTGGACACTCGTTTACATTGATCGTGTTTGCAAAAGTGTTTTTTAGTGAACTCCTTTTGGGTGTGAGGAACCCAGAAGATATCATTTTTAAATTGCTCTCCTGTATTGTGAATTTTCTAGGCAAAAATTTTTCTTGCTGAAAGATATACGAAATTCAATACAAATTCAATTAAAATAACAAATATTGGATATTGAATTGAATGAGAACCACACATAAGATTTCGTAGTTTTTCATGTGTTTTTCATTATGTACTTAAAAGTCTCAGGAATGTGAAATTCTTTACGAACCGGTTCTAAAAAAACAGTAAATGTTTGCTGCGTATTAGTTCTCCCTTTAATATTGTTCGTCACGAGCACATCTTGTGTAATTTGTGTCTTGCACTCGAGTAATGTCGAACATATCCATGTATTGCCCTCAAATAGTTATATGTTATTAAATTTACAATATTATTATATTATTTTTTATAAATGTGAAAATATGAAAATAAAAATATATACAAAATTATAAATATTGTATGACGCAAATGACAGCTTATATTTTATGTACATAAGCTCAAATCAGTTATTTTTTGTTAATTAATGGACAATATTAAAAATTGTGTTTCGAAAATTAAGAATTTATATAATAATTTTTAATTAATTTTTATTTTATTTAAATCTGCATTTTTTAATAATGTACCTTTTAAAATTCTATTATTTAATTTTATACAGGTACTTGTACTCTGTTTTTATTATTATTAAATTTTCATTTTGAAATTATTTACTTGTATTCAAAAGAAAAATAAAGAAGAAATTAAAGAATTATATTTTATTAAATAAAAATAATTTATTTGTTGAATAGAAAAATTAAATTATTGGTGAATTTAATTCAAAATAATAAAAAAATTAAAAATAAGTGAGCCTACCCTTTCCTCCGAAAAATATTTTGATAGTAAAAATATTTAATTCCATTTTATTGATTCCGAATTCCGAATTCCGAAAAATTTCCGAAGAATTTATATTCACGAAATAGTTTTATACAGTTAACAAACTTTCTCAATAACATTAATACCAAAGAGAGAAATACTAAATTAAGGCTTGATGTTAAAACCAGCGTTAATAATATAATTATAGCAGAATGCTAGTGATTTTCCTATATTTCCATTAAATTAAATATTTGCGTGTAAATTGAGTATAAATTTAAGTTTCCATCCGAATATAGTATATAGCGAACTTGCGAAAAAAATGGTAAATGTGACAGTTTGATGTTATGGTAGGCAGATTCGCTAGGTTTCTTTGCAAAAATCTGCTGAATAAAATATAATGTGCAAAGCTGCACGAATTTGTTGTAATTATAAAGAATTTTATTAAGACAGGTTATATTAAAATACTGTCAATATTGTACAATACTGCCATTACGAATAAAAAAAAATGTTAATATGAAAAATTTCATTTTAGTGTGCAAAATTGTCAAAAATTATTCATTTCATTGCAGTAGCTCGTATTTCGAATTGTGAATGAAATTCTCTTTTATTTACGAATTTTCGAAATTAAGAAGATATTTTTAAATTTTTCGGAAGAATTTTTGTATTAAAAATATAAATAAAAAGATTATTTTTTTAATTTTTTTTTTTTCAATTTATTTGTTTTTTTTTTAAATAATATTTTTTTTTAATAATTTAACAAAATCACTTTGGTTAATAAAAAGACAAAAGAAAAAAAAAAAGAAAAAAAATAATAATATTTTAATGTATAAATTTATAATAATGATATTTATAACAAATAAAAAAAAAATTAATAAAAAAAATTAATAAAGAATTTGTTTAATAATTATTTGTTTTTTCATATATTTTTATTTATAAAAAATGGTTCTACTTTTAAGTTTATTACTCGTTTTCTTTCTTTTTTTATACAAAACTTTACATATTTTAAATTAATATATTTGTTAACAAAATATTTAATGGTTATTTCTCTTATTTAACTAGGCATAAATCTAGGAGTTTCTTTTATTTATTAATTTGTTATCATTATTATTATTGTTGAATTTGAATTTTATAATATTTTTGAATTCTTATTTAATTCACCATTTCGATTTTATTCACGTAGGGGTTGTAGTAAAACAATTTCTGAAAAAAAAATTAAAAATAAAATATATTACAGCAATTAAAAAAAATTTTCTTTTCTTATTTTATGTAAAATAACTATTATAATATCAAATTGTAAATTCTAAATTACGTATACAAAATTTATTATCCGTTCATAAAAAGGAAATATTAAAATTATTGCAATTCTACAATACCTTAGTGTAATATTACAATGTGTGTATATTTAGGAGAAAACTGATTTCATTTAATTTCAAAGGATGTTTTATAACATCTATAAAACTTATGTCTTTTTATACTTTAATAAAATTTTAACATTAAATTAACGTTTCTATTATTGTTAAGTATAGAACAACCAAAATTTGGCAAATTTACACCATTTTAGTGTAAAATTACTATTATATATCAAATATTGATGATTATAACCATATCTTAAAGTTAAGCGGCAGCTTTATATAAGTACTAAAACAACAGTCAAACTCAATTTTGTGAATCAAGTTTGAAATTAAATTTTAAATTTTGAAAAAAACTAGCAACCTTTTACAATTACTTTAATGTCAGCCATTTTTTTTTACTTATTGAAATTGTAATTTTGAATATTGCGGAATCATGGGGTATTAAATTTCGACAAAATTTGAATGTGAAATTGAGCCTGCCTCTGATGTTAGTACACTGGTAAATTGAACTTCGTTGTAGTTTTGAGCTTTGTTGTAGGTTTGAAGTTTATTGCAAACTATAAAATTGTGCAAAAGCCTTTTTTTAAACTAAAATTTTTTTTCTTCAAAAACTTAATGAGCATCTAAAACAGTATTTGCTTTCTTTTCAATTTACGAACTCACTCCTTTGAGCAGTGCACTTAAATACGAGACCCTCTACATAAACATTTTTTTTATAGAATATTTTAATAAAATTGACGACGATAATAAAATTTTGTATCAAAAAAAGGACAATGAATTTGGGTTTTCTGTACAAGAAAATTAAGTAAAAAAATATTAGAGGACCCTAAGACCGCCCAATATTCATGCCTTAATTTGGTAACTTTTTGATAACTAAATATTTTACATTTGAATGTTTTAATAAAATAAATAGAAAACCGAAATTAAAAATTCATTTGATTATTATTTTTTTTTTGCCATCCATTGCATGAAAAAATTTCGTATAATCCATTTATTCTATTTTTTTATTATTCAATTTCCATTAAAAAAAAAATATAAAAATTTTCATGTTTTTTATTTATTTTTTTTTTACATTTAAATTTATTCATCTTTTTTTTATTTGCCTCTCTTTCTCTCTCTATATTATCTCTGCCGAGGTTATTATTTTACCGCAAAATAAAATTTAAAATTATGATTTCCAAATAATCAGGAAATTTCAATTTTTTACACCATCTGCTTTTTTTGCGGAAAATGAAATTAAATTTTCGAGCAAAGATAGACATCTGTTTCCTCCCTCTCTCTCTCTCTCTCTCTGTTATATTTACACAGTAAATACCTAATTGTATATATAGTTGCAGGATTCAGGAAAAAGGTAATTTTTTGGGAGATATAAGAAAAGCCTCATCATTACTACGATTGAATGAATTTTAAATGAAAATTTTAACTTTTTCGTACTTTTTCGTAAATCGTTTGTGTGCTTTTTTTAAATTAAATTCAAATTATATAAAATGCAAGGTACACAGGATATTTTACATTAATTCTGGAATGTTTTTATTTTGTTGTCGTTTTTTCTTGTACTGTAATATCCTTTTTAATATTTTTTAAGGTCGAAAGATTTAATAATGAATACGAGAAAAAAAAATGAAAAAGAAAGTTTTTATTTTTTTTTTAAACAATCTTAAATATTGTTAAAACTTTAAAACTTTATGAATTCATTTTCTATCATTCATTTTGCATTTTATTATGAATGAGAATAGAAAAATCTTTGTAAGACAGTTTTGATTATCCTCTTACTTTATCAAATGTTTCAAAAGCAGATAAAAAAAAACGTATATAAATTTATTCAAGTCCATGAAAACCAAACGTTTCACATCAAAAGTGAGTGAAAATGGAAAAACTTTTTGTATTTTAATATTTTTTTAGAATTTTCTCAACTTTTCGTCTCCCTTTTCTTGCTGCCAATATGTTTGTTTTGTTTCTGGCAAATTCTTTATTTTGCAAGTAGAATTGGTTTTGTAAATTTTGAGATAGCGCAAAAATGTCGGACTGCCTAATAATATAATTGTGCTTCCTTGAAAAATTTTTGAGTAAAATTATAGTTTATTAATACTGAAGGTGTTAGAGAAGTCCAGGGTTTTTTACTTGCCTACATTTTTAATTTTTCAAGACGTATATAACCTCAAGATGAGAATATTTGCGGTCACATAAGGTATATATACGTATAATATTTTTCGAAATCAAGGGAACGTTTAGAATTTGAGGCTTGAAATTTAGTACAGACGCGAGCATTCTAAGTCGAGGGACGTCTTTTCCCTAAAGTGCACATTTGAAAACGGAAAGAGCTATAGGCTCGGAATTTGGCATAGATGTGTGTTTTAATTGCATGCAAATCACTTCTGAAAATGAGTAATACTGCATTCCTGAAACGGTAACGTTCAGTACAGGATTTGCTGAGAGGCTATGATAAAATTGACTAAATACGATTAAGTATCGTTAATAAGTTCCTCGAATTCAAATAAAATTTCGAATGCGAAATAAATTTCAAAATTTCATATCTAAGTTTACTTGGAAGCTTTACATATTGTAAAAATACCCGAATATCAACATACTCTTGAATCTAATCGCAGTACAAAAACTATATAATTTAATTCCTTCGTTTATTTTTTTCCCTTTACAAGTAATGTGCGTGTATAACAAACAACTCGACAATTTTTTCATATTTTTAGTTTTGATCCAATAGAGGGATGAAGTTCTATAATTTTATATTAAGTGTGCTCTTTATAAAATTGAATATAAAAGATCAACTATGAATAAAGAAATGGTTAATAAAGTTTCTATGACACCACTTTTGTGTTTTTATATCTATAATCTTTTACAAAATTATTTATAATGTGCATAAGTTCGTGACTTACACAAAAGTGAAAATTTTCTTTGATTACTTCTTGTTTATTTTGGAAAATAAACGAATGCTCAACAAAAAAATAGTTCACTGTCGTAACTAGTACATTTGTCAAATTTTTAAAATTTTATATGTATATAAATTTATTTATGATTTTCTGCATCTTTTCGGTCCAATGGGTTTACATCGAACGGCAGGAAAAGGTTTATAGAAATTTTTTAAACTAAGAATTAAGTCACAGAATGAGGCGGTCAAAATCATGAAGAAGTCTTCTGCGGCTGCGGCAGGACAAGAAAATTCTTGGAGAGTGTGATGACCAGAAGCGATTTGGGATGATTTTAGTTATGATTGAGAATTTTCACCACTCAGATTAGGTTACTGCAGACTTAGAGGGCAGTTCAGAAGGGTTAGCCTCTGTTCTCATGGCAGCGAAGTTGCAGTCGTCCGAATTTAATAAGTCACTCGAGTTCATCAGTGTGGTGAATTTCGAGCAGATAGTGTGAGAGCATGGCCCGCACTTGAATATTATATTATTGCAGTAGCTTTGCAATAATTGCTGGTTTTTCGTAAAAGATCAATTGATTTAACAATAATTTATAAGTTTTTTTTAAATTAGTGTCATAAGATGTAAAATTGGTTTAAAGTTATTTAATAACTAGAGGCTCCAATAAAATTTATTCAATTTAATATTAAATTTCTACAGGCTACATTCACTATTTTTTTTGCAATGATTAAAATAAATCGTTGATTAATTCGATATTTAAATCACAAAATTAATACATAAAAAAAAAGAAAAAAAAAAAAAATAAATTACAGGACAATTTTCAAATTAAAAAAAAAATTTTTTTTTTATTTTCAAAAGAATGGAAAAATTTTTTTTTCAATTTTGATATATCGGCCGTGATATTGACAGGATATTAACAAGTAGTATTAAATGGGGGAAAAAACAGAAAAAACTCCGTAAATGTACCCTTTTTTTATTAATATCCTTCGGGACATATTTAACATGTGCATTATTATAAGGATTTATTAAAGCGTTAAAATAGTGAAATCATTGAAATTGTTTTAATTTATTTTTTTCATTGTAATCAATTCCATTTTTTTTAATTAAAAGTTGTGAAAAGGCAAAGTAAGTTTTTAATATTTAACAATGTAATTAAATGAACAGAAGATCTATTTAAAATTTATAATAAAATTACTTGTTGAAATTGATTGATTTAAACCACAATTAATAGGTTATTTTCAAAATTAAATAACTCTGTTTAAAGTAGTAGTAAACAGTATGTGGTATAGTAAAAAGTTAAATTAATCTTATGGGACACCAAATATTTTTTATGAAAATAGAAAAAAAGAGTAATTTGGATGGTATGAAGCGTATATTTTGTATCTGGTGAAGTATGAAAATTTCCTGATTTGAAAATAGAAGAACTACTAATATAATTATAACAAAATATGGCCATCTCCATATCGTTGTTCGGCGAAAAGTAATGAACAAGCAGGATATGTTGTAGTAATTTTGAAATTTTGTAAAATAAATTTAAAATCGAATATCTTCCACAGGAAACAATTCCCAAATACATATTTATAAATGGAATGAGAAAATTTGTGAAAGGTGTCCAGAAAATCTCGTATTTTAGAATTTGACTCTTTATAGTTAATTCATATTCGTTACAGCTACAGGTTTAAATGCTTACAACTACAGGCTAAAATGCTTGCGGGTGTCTTGGGAATAATTTTAAATGTTTTACAACATTAAATGGCCACTTTATTTCTCGTAAATATTCCTCTTGTAAATACTATTTATTTATAATTTTATTAAGTAAATTTTGTATAGAGACACGTGTATTTTTTAAATATTAATTTTAACCTTAAAAAATTCACAAAAAAAAACTTTTTGAAAAGAAAGAATTTTTTCTTTCATTGAGTTTTTGGTTACATGAAGAGGAACAAAATTAAAAAACCATTTTGAA